TCCAATTAGTTCTATCTCCACCACTAATTGCTCTTGATGCATCCCAACAACTCATTGCCCAATTCATATGTTACAATGGCGACATCTTGTGCAACTGATAATTGTCATGTTTCTAAGGAGTAACTCATACTTACTATGTATGCTTCCACAGATGAGTCACATGGAAAAACAACAGCAGATTTGTCTGACCTTATACCTTTCCAGCTGAGTACACTTCCCTGGCTATCTATGATGGCCCACCAGGACTTTGATCAACTTCCTAGATTTGCTATCCATGTGGATGGAAACCTTGCAGTGCTCCAGATGTTTCTGCCCTCCAGCTCCCATCAGCCCCAGCGTTTAGCATGGCCCAATGGTCAGGAGTGATGGAAGTTCAAAATAACTTTTGTTAAAAAAAAACAAAGCCCAGAAGCTTTTCTTTCGGGAATTATAGGGACAGAACTACCTGAATTGGATAGAAATTTATTTATGTGTGCTACTACAGCAGCAAGAATGTTACTTGCCCCAAAATGGAAAGAAGCAGAAGTCCCATTAAAGGACGAATCGATACAAAAAATTATGGAATATTCAGAAATAGTGAAACTTATCAGAAGAATAGGAAATCAAGATAACGAACTTTTTATAAAAGAGTGGAAATGGTTTATTGCAGGCATAGGCAAACAGCCCTCCAGATGTTTTGGGACTACAATTCCCATCATCCCTGACCACTGGTCCTGTAAGCTAGGGATGATGGGAGTTGTAGTCTTCAAACATCTAGAGGGCCAAGTTTGCCTATGCCTGGTTTATTGAATATTTACAGATAAATTGCAAACAGATAAAAACATTAGCAAGATTATTGTCTCTGGACCATAATAAAGATTGATTGATTGATTGATTGATAATAACCTGCAGTTTCATAAGAGTATATATTTCAAGTAGATAGGAAGGTAAACAGTGTTTCTGTGCGCTGCTCTGGCTTCGCTAGAAGCAGTTTAGTCATACTGGCCGGAAAAACTATCTGCAGAAGTGGACAATTGCCAGCTCCCTTGTAGAGCAAGATGAGCACTGCAGCCCCAGAGTCGTTCGCGACTGGACTTAATTGTCAGGGGTCCCTTTACCTAATTAAATGAGCAAATTAAATGAATTTGGATTTGCAGAAGATATTAAAAAATAAATTTAAGGAACCACAGAAAGAGGGGGAAGGAAGCCAAACTTTGAAATGTTAAATTGATTGTAAAACTAATGAAATGTATAAACTTCAAAAGTATAAATAACAACTTTTTTAAAAAAAGGAGTGATGGAAGTTGAAAGCTGGCAACATCTAGAAGGCCATAGACCTCCATAAACTTACACCTTCCGATTTATATATAGAAATGCAAATTTAGAAATTTAGGTTGCAGCATCTGGGACCTCCTAATTTAGTTGGGGGGAAAGACTAAATGATGAATGATAGAAGCTTATATAATTATGCATGGCATGAAGAAAGTAAAAAGAAACGGTTTTTTCTTCCTGTTTCATAACACTAGAACTCGTGAACATTCAACGAAGCTGAATGTTGGAAGATTCATGCAGCAGATAGTTAAACTCAGCAATTCCATTCCACAGGTTCTAACCCACCCGAAAGACCTTTTCCAGTTTGAAATGTGGTGGAGTAATTATAAAAATAATTATGACTATGGAAAAAGAAACTCTGAATATATCATATAATCAATAGCATGTTAACCCATTGTTATTTATAATAATAGCACAGTAGAGTTGGAAGGGACCTTGAAGATCATTTAGTCCAACCCCCTTCTATGCAGGAATATGCAGCTAAACTATTATGTGCTTTCGATGGTTATTATCATTTAACACTCATAAAGTGCCCATATCCTTCTAAGTAGAGTGTGTGCATACACACACAAAGAGACACAGGCACGTTAACCTATGTCCATGATGACTGGGACTCTAAACTAAAGAGCTGCCCCTTCCTGTATAATAATGAAGTTTGGAGTATAAAAATATCTCAATGCACCATTGCCTACATCTGTACTGTCTATCCCAGGAATAGAGGAATTTTCGCATTCCTATAGCTGTTAGATTCCAACTATTATCAGCCCCAAGCAGGACAGCCAATGGCCAGAGGTAAAGGAGTTGGAGTCATATAAAGAGGACCACAGATACCAATTCCCTCCACTGGTTTAGCCCAGTGGAAGCCAATGTGATGCCCACCACAACTTCCATCACCCTTGGCCATTGACCATACTGTCTGGGGCTGAAGGGAGTTGGAGTCTAACAACATCCACATGGCACAAGATTCTCCACTCCTGATCTAAAGATCTCCCCTCACCCACCATAACACCATTAAGCCCAAAGTCTGAAATTACCTAAACATATCACTATCTATATGTGTGCTGTCTGGTTTAGGAATTAGGACCCTGTGGTCTTCCAGATGTTATTGGACATCAATACCCATGGTCCTTCACCTATTACCATGATGTCTGTGGATGATGGGAGTCCAACATTATCAGGGTGGGCAGCAGATTGGGGAAGGCAAATCTGGAGATCGGAGTGACCCTCTGAAAATCCATATAAATGAGCCACCTGGAGAACTCCCATTCTTCAAATCTCAATCCACATGAGCAGTGATGAATAATCCATTTATCAGCAGGCACGGGGTACTACAAATCTGTGTGGCAAGGAGCTCAGCATGGTTCTGCCTGGTGCTGATGTGGAGACATTGATCTCCCGCAACTTCATCTCTGAGTCACTAGGGCTACCATCCAACCACTGTAGCCAGCATCCACTGTCACCAGCATTTCCCATAGAGCTCTTTGATCTTTATCGAAGCCACATCCTTTATCATCTGTATCGTGGAACTGGTGTGACTACTAATTAGATGTATCTTGATCCATCGAATTATGGTTAAATAACGTGTCAAGGATCAGGTGCCAATGAGTCCATGGTCTCCTTGGATCCATGGTTTTGGACTGACCCACCATTCCCCGGCTCATCTATCATCTATAGGGAGGAGGACTGTTTAGAACCATATAAAAGGGCCTCTCTGTCCAAGAGTCCTCATTCCCTCACTGGCCTTTGCCTCTTCACCAGCTGTCTTCTCCCCACTTGTTAAGGTAAGTCAGATTCTGCTGGTGCTTGTGTCTTCACTTTGCCCTGAGTGAGTTTCTAGACTTCTGCTATCAGTGTTAACTAGAATCCTGTTGTTCAGATTGGGGCTACACCATCAGGATATCAGGAAAAAACAGTGGACTCAGATGGTGGTGTGTGAGGTTTTGAAACAATGAATGGATGGATGCCCTGAAGCAGTGGGTTTTCTGTATCAGTGCTAGTTACCTTTTAGGTCCTACACTATGTTTCTATGGGTTGGGAATCAGGATCCCGGAGAAATGAGGAAGGGAGCCATTCAGGGATTCCTGTTGTGGATTTGTTTATTCTCTGTACTCTGGACAAGATTGGAGGGGGATGGGTGACAGGAATGCTCAGTCCCCGAGGCAGAAAAGAAGCTGTACATTTCCACAGGTTAAGGTGGAACTTAAATGGCTCAGGACCACAATATCTCAAGGACCGCCTCTTTCCATATGAACCTACCTAGAACCTGAGATTATCTTCTGAGGCCCTTCTTGGTGTGCCTCCTCCATGACAGGTCCGGAGGGTGGCAACATGAGAACGGGCCTTCTCTGCAATGGATCCCCATTTGTGGAATGCTCTCTCCAGGGAAATTGGCCTGGCGCCTTCATTATACACCTTTAGGTGCCAGCTGCCAGGCAAAAATGTTCCTCTTTAAACAGGTCTTTGGCTGAGTGACATCCAGTGCTCTTTTGAAATGGGGAGGGGGGATTTATTGTTATGTATATGCTTTTATTATGCATATATTTTTTTGTTTTTATGCATATGCCTGCGGGCATAGGGCAGTATACAAATGTAATAATAAATAAAATAAAGCAAGTGCAATTTTATATGAAGAATTATCCAAGCGGTGGAGGTTGGGTCATTGGAGCTAATGAGGGCAGTGTCACAAAAACCTCAGTCTGCTCTCAGAGAACTCACAACTGTTTGCCTTCTGCAACCAGTTTAGGGATTGCCTGACATAACAGGCTCCGCTGCCCAAATCTGTTTCCAAAAGGTGAAAAGCCAGTTGCCTCCATGAAGCAGACCAGGACCACGTCAACCCTCAAATGTGTGGGTAGATGAGGTGTGGAGAACCTGGTGGGCCTCAAGGTGTTGTTAGATGAGAAACTACAGAAAGTAGGGCTGCTCTCAGTTCCTGCTTGTGGGCTTTCCATAAGCATTGGTTGGCTACTGTGAGAACCAGACACAGAACCACAAGGGTCACTAGCCTGTGGTCTCAAGACTCCAACTCCCACCATCTTTGATCATTGAACATGTTGGTTTAGGTTGGTGGGTGTTGGGGTCCCCACAACATCTGAAGAACACCAAGTCCTCCCAACCTGATCTAAAGAGCTCCCCCTTCCCATTGGGGAAGACTGGCATATTCACATCCTGTGTGATGTTTAAGAGCAAGGTTAGCTCTCTTACACTTGAAATATCACCTATGCACTTCCATCATATACTTGTAATTCAAGAATGGATGGACATAGAAGACAACGACAGATACATAATTTTGGTGGTTCAGGGAAAGAGAAGAAATCTGTGTTTCTGATCTAATGAGGTGTTGTTTTCCCCCCGTGTCTTTCAGATGTGTGAAGAAGGGTGTAACGATAGAGTTATCTACTCTTCTGGGAGAGAACCCTGGTTCAATCTGAACTCAACATGGTATGGCCCAGCTGGATCCTGGTTGGACAACCGCCGCAAACCATTTCGCTATGTTGTAAACACATCCTGTGTCACCGGTTGCAACCGCAGGGATGATGTACCGAGAAGAGGAGGCCACAATTACCGATGCTACGGCTATCGGCGCTCCACCTGTAGACAAGGGGGAAACCCAAGAGTGACCTGCTGTGTCCACAATCCTTCGGGAGGACCCCGTGATTACTGGGGGCGTCCAATAGGCGATTCGTGTGATGGAAATACAGGGGGGCACTATTCTAATGAAGAGTCGTTCTGCTGTGGATCCGGTGGTGGATCTGCTGGTGGATGCGGAGGTGGATCTGCTGGTGGATGCGGAGGTGGATCTGCTGGTGGATGCGGAGGTGGGCAAGGAGGGGCTTGTGCCCAGCCAGTTGCTTCATCAGGAGGATGTGGAGGAGGACGAGGAGTGTGTTCTGAGCCTGGATGTGGAAGAGGAAGAGCAGTATGCGCAGAACCTGGATGTGGCAGATCTTCAAGAGGGCTGCAAACCTCTGGGGGAGCAGGGTGTGCTGGGTCTTCAGGAGGATGTGGAGGAGGACGAGGAGTCTGTTCTGAGCCCGGATGTGGAAGAGGACGAGGAGTATGTTCTGAGCCTGGATGCGGAAGGTCTTCAAGAGGGCTGCAAACCTCTGGGGGAGCAGGGTGTGCTGGGTCTTCAGGAGGATGTGGAGGAGGACGAGGAGTGTGTTCTGAGCCGGGATGTGGAAGGTCTTCAAGACGGCCACAAACCTCTGGGGGCTCAGTGTGTTCCGAGTCCAGCGTTAGATCTTCAGGAAGATGTGGAAGAGGAAGAGGAGTATGTTTTGAGCCGGGATGCGGAGGAGGAAGAGGAGTATGTTCTGAGCCGGGATGCCGCTCATAGGAAAGTATGTGCTGAACCAAGGGGTTCATCTTCAGGAGGATGGAGGAGGAAGTGTTCCAATGATGAGCTCATCATCTACACAGACTGATGGTCCCAATACCAAACCACATAAATAGCCTTTTCCATCAATGCCTTCTTCTAAATTTGAAAACATCCTGAAAATGATGCACCGTTTCTCACTCCGTCAACCCCTGAGTGATCCTGAAAACCTAAAGACTGTGTCCACTGCAGAGAAGTGTGAACATTTCTTAGTGGACCATATCTGGACCATTGGTGTCTGAACATTATCTGCCTGCAACGAAGTTCTGTGCTTTTCCTGTTTTTCTTTTCCTTGGCATCAATAAAATTATGTTGATTGGCTAAAGTTGTGTTCTTCTGATGATTGGGTGCAGTCAGTGGCTGCCCTGCTAGTACCTTCTTTGTGGCCTGGGAAGATGGGTGTGGCTAGGGATTGATGTAAGTCAGAAAATAAATTGTTATATCAAAAGGGGGGGAAAGTTATGTAAAATCATATTGAAATATTTTTTGCTCTACATCACCATCTGGTGTTTCATTTTTATAATGCATCGAAAACGCTGCTTTCTGAATAATGTAGCTGAGTCCAATGTCTCTTGCTTGCCACCACTTATTGCTCTTGATGATGCAAACAATTCATTGCCCAATTCATACCGTATGTTACAATGGCAACAACTTGTGCAACTGATAATTGTCATGTTGCTAAGGAGTGACTCATACTTACTATGTACGCTTCCACAGATGAGTCACATGGAAAAACAATGGCAGATTTGTCTGACCTTATACCTTTCCAGCTGAGTACACTTCCCTGGCTATCTATGATGGCCCACCAGGACTTTGATCAACTTCCTAGATTTGCTATCCATGTGGATGGAAACCTTGCAGTGCTCCAGATGTTTCTGCACTCCAGCTCCCATCAGCCCCAGCATTCAGCATGGCCCAATGGTCAGGAGTGATGGAAGTTCAAAATAACTTTTGTTAAAAAAAAACCAGAAGCTTTTCTTTTGGGAATTATAAGGGCAGAACCACCTAAATTGTATTGAAATTTATTTATGTATGCTACCACCACAGCAAGAATGATACTTGTCCAAAAATGGAAAGAAGCAGAAATCCCATTAAAGGAAAATTGATATAAAAATTATGGCATATTCAGAAATAGTGAAACTTACCGGAAGAATAAGAAATCAAGATAACAAACTTTTTATAAAAGAGTGGAAATGGTTTATTGCAGGCATAGGCAAACTCAGCCCTCCTGCTGTTTTGGGACTACAATTCCCATCATCCCTGACCACTGGTCCTGTTAGCTAGGGATGATGGGAGTTGTAGTCCCCAAACATCTGGAGGGCCAAGTTTGGCTATGCCTGGTTTATTGAATATTTACAGATAAACTGCAAACAGATAAAAACATTAGCAGGATTACTGTAATAACCTGCAGTTTCATAAGAGTATATATGTGAAGTAGATAATTAAATGAGCAAATTAAATAAATTTGGATATGCAGAAGGTATTGAAAAATGAATTTAAGGAACCGCAGAAAGAAGGGGGAGGAAGCCCAACTTTGAAATGTTAAATTGATTGTAAAACTAATGAAATGTATAAACTTCAAAAGTATAAATAAAGACTTTTTTAAAAGGGAGTGATGGAAGTTGAAATCTGGCAACATCTGGAAGGCCATAGACCTCCATAAACTTAAATCTTCCGATTTATATATAGAAATGCAAATTTAGAAATTTAGGTTGCAGCATCTGGGACTTCCTAGTTTAGTGGGGGGAGAGAAAGACTAAATGATGAAATGATAGAAGCTTATATAATTATGCATGGCACGAAGAAAGTAGAGTGAGAAAGGTGTTTCTTCCTGTTTCGTAACACTAGAACTCATGAACATTCAGCGAAGCTGAATGTGGAAGATTCTTCTTCATGCAACAGATAGTTAGTCTATGGAACTCCCTTCCACAAGAGGCAGCGATGGCCATCAGCTTGAATGGCTTTAAAAGGGGACTGAACAAATGAATGGAGCAAAGACTATTTTTTTAAAAAAATAATTTTTATTAACAGGCCAATCACATCACATTATCTATATCACATTAGTTCCAAATTATACAGCCAAATTTAAAATTTTGTTGGGGGTACCCATACACCAAGCTCCGCACGAGTCCAAAACAGGCATCACTTATCTTACTGCTTTAATTAGACAGTTCTATCCATTTTGATCCGGACAGTCCTTTATTACTTCCTTTCTCTTCTTGTTGTTATCGTATATTCCTTTCTTTGAGATCTCTGATGATTTTCACAAGCAGGTTGAAAACTGGCATTCTGTGTGGGTTTTGTACTCTTCCAAAAATCATATCGGTCAGGGACAGCCTCTGTACAACGCTTCCATAAACAAAATTAATCTCCGGTCTGTCCTTTATTTTTCTCAGGCTTACCAAATAAATCAAATGAATGGAGCAAAGACTAGCATAGCTACAAGCCACAGTGGGTATGGGGTGCCTCCATGGGGAGAGGAAGAGATGCTTCTGAATGGCAGTTGCTGGAAACGACAGGACAGGAGAAGGGGGTTGCTTTCAGGTCCAGCTTGTGGGTTTCTGACAGGCACCTGGAGTGGCTGCTGTGAGCTGAAGATGCTGAACTAAATGAGCTATTGGCCTGATCAAACAGACTCGTCTTCTGTTCTTATATTGTCATGCATTTAATTGTTTTTGGTGGTTCTACCCACCACAAAGGGATGCGGGTGGCGCTGTGGGTTAAACCACAGAGCCTAGGACTTGCCGATCAGAAGATTGGTGGTTCGAATCCCCACAACGGGGTGAGCTCCCATTGCTCAGTACCAGCTCCTGCCACCCTAGCAGTTCGAAAGCACGTCAAAGTGCAAGTAGATAAATAGGTACCACTCCGGTGGGAAGGTAAACGGCGTTTCCGTGCGCTGTTCTGGTTCGCCAGAAGCGGCTTATTCCTGCTGGCCACATGACCCAGAAGCTGTACACCGGCTCCCTCGGCCAATAAAGCGAGATGAGCGCCGCAACCCCAGAGTCGTCCGTGACTAGACCTAACAGTCAGGGGTCCCTTTACCTTTACCTTTACTCGACCCCAAAGACCTTTACCAATTTGAAATGTGGTGGAGTAATTATAAGAATAATTATGACTATGGAAAAAGAAACTCTGAATATATCATATAATCAATAGCATGTTAACCCATTGTTATTTATAATAATAGAACAGTAGAGTTGGAAGGGACCTTGAAGATCATTTAGTCCAACCCCCGTCAATGCAGGAATATGCAGCTGACCCATAGAGGGATTGAACCATGCTCTAACCCAGGGGTCAGCAAACTTTTTCAGCAGGGGGCCGGTCCACTGTCCATCAGACCTTTTGGGGGCCGGATTATACAGTAGTACCTCTGGTTACATATGCTTCAGGTTACAGACTCCACTAACCCAGAAATAGTACCTCGGATTAAGAACTTTGCTTCAGGATGAGAACAGAAATCGTGCTCCGGTGGCGTGGCGGCAGCAGGAGGCCCCATTAGTGGTGCTTCAGGTTAAGAACGGACCTCGAGAACGAATTAAGTACTTAACCCGAGGTACCACTGTGTTTTGAAAATGAAAATAAAAAAAATCCCACAAATAACCCAGAGATACATTTTAAATAAAAGCACACATTCTACTCATGTAAAAACATGCTGATTCCAGGATTAAGAAGGTAATTGGGCCAGATCTGGCCCCCGGGCCTTAGTTTGCCTACCCATGTTGTAACCAGCTGAACTATTATGTGCTTTCGATGGTTATTATCATTTAACACTCATAAAGTGCCCATATCTTTCTAAGCAGAGTGTGTACATACCCACACAAAGAGACACAGATACCCTAATCTATGTCCATGATGACTAAGGCTCTAAACTAAAAAACCCCGTAAAACCATGAAGTTTGGAGTCTAAAATTATCGCAATACATCATTGCATACATTTGTACTGTTTATCCCAGGAACATAGGGATTATGTCCCTCCTACAGCTGTAGGATTCCAACTCTTATCAGCCCTGAGCAAGACAGCCAATGGCCAGGGGTCAAAGGAGTTGGAGTCATATAAAGAGGACCACAGATACCATAGCCCTCCACTGGTTTAGCCCAGTGAAAGCCAATGTGATGCCCACCAGATTGTTTGAACCACAACTTCCATCACCCTTGGCCATTGACCATACTGTTTGGGGCTGAAGGGAGTTGAAGTCTAACAACATCCACAAGGCACAAGATTCACCACTCCTGATCTAAAGATCTCCCCTCACCCACCATAACACTATTAAGCTCAAAGTCTGAAATTACCTACAAATATCACTAGCTAGATGTGCGCTGTCTGATTTAGGAATTAGGACCCTGTGGTCTTCCAAATGTTATTGGATTTCAATATCCCACGATCCTTCACCTATTTCTATGATGGCTGTGGATGATGGGAATCCAACATTATCAGGGTGGGCAGCAGATTGGGAAAGGCAAATCTGGAGATTAGAGTGACCCGCTGAAAATCCATATAAATGAGCCACCCTGGAGAACTCCCATTCTTCAAATCTCAATCCACATGAGCAGTGATGAATAATACATTTATCAGCAGGCACGGGGTACTACAAATCTGTGTGGCAAGGAGCTCAGCATGGTTCTGCCTGGTGCTGATGTGGAGACATTGATCTCCTACAGCTTCATCTCTGAGTCATTAGGGCTACCATCCAACCACTGTCACCAGCATCCACTGTCACCAGCATTTCCCAAAGAGCTCTTTGATCTTTATAGAAGCCACATGCTTTATCATTTGTATCATGGAACTGGTGTGACTACTAATTAGATGTATCTTGATCCATCGAATTATGGTTACATAACGTGTCAAGGATCAGGTGCAAATGAGGCTGCTGTAGTATGCAGACATGGTCTTCTTGGGTCCATGGTTTTGGACTGACCCACCATTCCCAGGCTCCTGTATCATCTATAGGGAGGAGGACTGTTTAGAACCATATAAAAGGGCCTCTCTATCCAAGAGTCCTCATTCCCTCACTGGCCTTTGCCTCTTCACCAGCTGTCTTCTCCCCACTTGTTAAGGTAAGTCAGATTCTGCTGGTGCTTGTGTCTTCACTTGCCCTGAGTGAGTTTCTAGACTTCTGCTATCAGTGTTAACTAGAATCCTGTTGTTCAGATTGGGGCTACACCATCAGGATATCAGGAAAAAACAGTGGACTCAGATGGTGGTGTTTGAGGTTTTGAAACAATGAATGGATGGGTGCCCTGAAGCAATGGGTTTTCTGTATCAGTGCTAGTTACCTTTTAGGTCCTACACTATGTTTCTATGGGTTGGGAATCAGGATCCCGGAGAAATGAGGAAGGAAGCCATTCAGGAATTCCTGTTGTGGATTTGTTTATTCTCTGTACTCTGGACAAGATTGGAGGGGAGTGGATGACAGGAATGCTCAGTCCCCAAGACAGAGAAAGAAGCTGTACATTTCCACAGGTTAAGGTGGAACTTAAATGGCTCAGGACCACAATATCTCAAGGACCACCTCTTTTCATATGAACCTGCCTAGACCCTGAGATTATCTTCTGAGGCCCTTCTTGGTGTGCCTCCTCCATGACAGGTCCGGAGGATGGCAAAATGAGAACAGACCTTTCCTGTATTGACTCCCCGTTGGTGGAATGCCCTCCCCCGGGAAGTTCACCTGGCACCTTCATTATACACCTGCTTCCCCTTCTGCAACCAGTTTAGAGATTGCCTGACATAACAGGCTCCGCTGCCCAAATCTGTTTCCAAAAGGTGAAAAGCCAGGTGCTTCCATGAAGGGCACAAGCAGAACAGGACCACATCAGCCCTCAACTGTGTAGTTAGATGAGGTGGACCTCAAGATGTTGTTAGACGACAAATTACAGGAAGTAGGGTTGCTCTCAGTTCCTGCTTGTGGGCTTTCCATAAACATTGGTTGGCCACTGTTAGAACTGGATATAGAACTACAAGGGCCAGTAGCCTGTGGTCTTATGACTACAAACTCCACCATCTTTGATCACTGACCATGTTGTTTGGGGTTGGTGGGTGTCAGAGTACTCACAACATCTGAAGAACACCAAGTCCTCCCGGCCTGATCTAAAGAGCTCCACCTTCCCATTGGGGAAGACTGATTAACCTTCTCTCCATGTTTAAGAGCAAAGTTAGCTATTTTATACTTGAAACATCATCCATGCACTTCCATCATATACTTGTAATTCAAGAATAGATGGACATAGAAGACAATGGCAAATACATAATTTTGGTGGTTCAGGGAAAGAGAAGAAATCTGTGTTTCTGATCTAATGAGGTGTTGTTTTCCCCCCGTGTCTTTCAGATGTGTGAAGAAGGGTGTAACGATAGAGTTATCTACTCTTCTGGGAGAGAACCCTGGTTCAATCTGAACTCAACATGGTATGGCCCAGCTGGATCCTGGTTGGACAACCGCCGCAAACCATTTCGCTATGTTGTAAACACATCCTGTGTCACCGGTTGCAACCGCAGGGATGATGTACCGAGAAGAGGAGGCCACAATTACCGATGCTACGGCTATCGGCGCTCCACCTGTAGACAAGGGGAAACCCAAGAGTGACCTGCTGTGTCCACAATCCTTCGGGAGGACCCCGTGATTACTGGGGGCGTCCAATAGGCGATTCGTGTGATGGAAATACAGGGGGGCACTATTCTAACGAAGAGTCGTTCTGCTGTGGATCCGGTGGTGGATCTGCTGGTGGGTGCGGAGGTGGATCTGCTGGTGGATGCGGAGGTGGGCAAGGAGGGGCTTGTGCCCAGCCAGTTGCTTCATCAGGAGGATGTGGAGGAGGACGAGGAGTGTGTTCTGAGCCTGGATGTGGAAGAGGAAGAGCAGTATGCGCAGAACCTGGATGTGGCAGATCTTCAAGAGGGCTGCAAACCTCTGGGGGAGCAGGGTGTGCTGGGTCTTCAGGAAGATGTGGAGGAGGACGAGGAGTGTGTTCTGAGCCCGGATGTGGAAGAGGACGAGCAGTATGCTCAGAACCGGGATGCAGAAGGTCTTCAAGAGGGCTGCAAACCTCTGGGGGAGCAGGGTGTGCTGGGTCTTCAGGAGGATGTGGAGGAGGACGAGGAGTGTGTTCTGAGCCGGGATGTGGAAGAGGACGAGGAGTATGTTTTGAGCCAGGATGCGGAGGAGGAAGAGGAGTATGTTCTGAGCCGGGATGCCGCTCATAGGAAAGTATGTGCTGAGCCAAGGGGTTCATCTTCAGGTGGATGGAGGAGGAAGTCTTCTACGCCATGGGAAAGATGCTGAAGAAGGCCTGCCTGTTCCAAGCCATCAGATGGGCTCCAAATCATCCTGTCGCTGCAACCACAATAATGTTACAGAGAGAGATGCTGTTGGGCCGAGTGGCTGGCAAGAGCAACCACAGCAAAGGAAGCTTGATCTTATCTATCTATCTATCTATCTATCTATCTATTTATTTATTTATTTATTGTATTTATGCATCAATTAGTAGCCAAGCTGGGCTCTCAAAGCAGCTTACTCTAGAAATTCAACCCTCCCCCACCCTTCCAAAACTACAATACATCAGGAAAGCATGAGAGTGGTAATAGCCTCTTCTGGGCCATGTCTGTTGATGAGCTCATCATCTACATAGAAGGTTCTTCCTTCCAGATGGTGAGAGGGAAGAAAGCTGCAGGTGCCGTCCTAGACTGACTGATGGTCCCAATACCAAACCACAGAAATAGCCTTTTCCGTCAATTTCTTCTTCTAAATTTGAAAACATCCTGAAAATGATGTGCCATTTTTCACTCCATCAACCCCTGAGTGATCCTGAAAACCTAAAGACTGTGTCCACTGCAGAGAAATGTGAATGTTTATTAGTGGACCCTATCTGGACCATTGGTGCCTGAACGTTATCTGTCTGCAATGAAGTTCTGTGCTTTTCCTGTTGTTTTCTTTTCCTTGGCATAAATAAAATTCTCTTGATTGGCTAAAGTTGTGTTCTTCTGATGATTGGGTGCAGTCAGTGGCTGCCCTGCTGGTTACTTCTTTGTGACCTGGGAAGAGGGGTGTGGCTAGGTATTGATGTAGTCTGGGGCATGTCTCAGAAGGCATACAGAGAGGAAAGGAGGTCCACATTTTGTTCCAAGCCTAAGACTCCCTATCCTTGTCCTATATATCTGTCCAGGGCATCTACAGGTCCTTTTCATGGGTTCAAGCCCCACACTGGTCAAAGAAGAAAAAATCTGCATTACAGGGAGTTGTGCTAGATCAGCCTTTGCCCACCTGTGGGTCCCCAGATGTTGTTGGACTACAACTCCCATCACTCCTAGCTAGCAAGGCCAGAGCTCAAGGATGATGGGAGTTGTAGTCCAACAACATCTGGGGACCCACTGGTTGAGAACCACTGTACTAGATGAACCTTGTGGTCCGTTCTAACTCTACAATTCTCGTCGGGAGGGGGGGACAAGTCAGAATGGCTGTTAGCTAATATGACAAAATGGAACTTCCAGGTTCAGATGCAGTACACCTTTGGATACCAGATGCTGGAAGAAAAACAACAGATGTTTATGAGCTTTCCAGAGGGATGCGTCTGGCCCATCCTTTTCCAGCTTGATGGCTTCCAATTGTCGCTGGACTACATCTCCCATCAGCCCTGACCACTAGCTGGTGCTGATGGGAGTTTGGGTCCAGCAATGTCTGAAATGTCACAAGTTCCCTACTCCAACTCTATGAGATCATGGAATGCCACCAGGACAAATAACTGCAGCATATTAGTGGGAGATGAGCACCACCTTCTGGCCACCATGCTTCTGGCACAGTTTCTTTCCTTTGTGAGGAATAGGTCTTGATGTTGGTTGGCATTCTTAACTGGTGAGATCAATATTTTGGGCACAACCTTGGCCTGTAAAGCGAGATGAGCGCCGCAACCCCAGAGTCATCTGCAACTGGACTTAACTGTCAGAGGTCCTTTACCTTTAAGCATGGACAGGGCTTCACAGAGGCCACAGTCACACCACACATTCAAAGCACCGTGATACCTCTTTAAATAGACAGTCAGTCAAGTTTATTGCTTATAGCCAAAGGCTGCTGCAATGTATGCCATGTCATTCAATAAAATATATACTAGTTTGATACAAAAACTTAAAACATTTATATTGTCAAAACGTGACCTAATCCTCACATAGCTATAGGAACTCCTTAATATACAAATTGAAACATTAGACAATAAAATTTATAAGCTAAAATCACCGCGGGGCCACTAATATATTACAAGTAATATTAAATAATACAATAGACAATTATGTACAAAGTTTAGGGAGAAAGCTACAGCTTGGTGTAGATGGGGTCAAATAAATTCATCCCCATTACAGTTGATAGCTATCTCGGCTATATAATTTTTTCTAATTTTCCTGGGGGCAGTTGCAAAAAGTGCCACACCCCAGTTCACATCTTTAAATAGTCATGGCTTCTGCCCAAAAATTATGGGAGCTGTATTTTGTTCTGGATACTAAGGGTTGCTAGGAGATCCCCTGTTCCCCTCAGAGAGCTACAATTTCCAAAGTGGTTTAACCATTGATCCTTCTTCACAGGGAACTCTGAGAATTGAAGCTCTGTGAGGGGAATTGAGGTCTACTAGTAACTCAGTCAGAGCTGCCATATTTTGAAGAGCAAAATAGAGGACACATTTGCCGACTTCTGCTTTTAACTATGGATCAGTATGTCGACTCTCATTTTACATACCCATGAGAAAGAGGTTGTGTCCTGGGAAAAGAGGACATTTGGCAGTTCCTAAGATTCTTTGGGGGAAGCCATGACTGTTTAAAGTGGTATAAAAAGGGACCCCTGACCATTAGGTCCAGTCGTGACCAACTCTGGGGTTGCGGCACTCATCTCGCTTAACTGGCCGAGGGAGCTGGCGTACAGCTTCCGGGTCATGTGGCCAGCAGGACTAAGCCGCTTCTGGCGAACCAGAGCAGTGCACGGAAACGCTGTTTACCTTCCCGCCGGAGCGGTACCTATTTATCTACTTGCACTTTGACGTGCTTTTGAACTGCTAGGTTGGCAGGAGCAGGGACCGAGCAATGGGAGCTCACCCTGTTGTGGGGATTTGAACCTCCAACCTTCTGATCGGCAAGTCCTAGGCTCTGTGGTTTAACCCACAGCGCCACCCGCGTCCCACGTAAAGTGGTATAAAAAGGCTTTAAAGGTAGGGTATAAATATGGCCTGATTATCAAAAGAATAAAAAAGGAAAAGAAGACGTAAAGGATTCCATACCCTCCAAGTGTCCCAATTTTCCATGGACAGTCCAGGAATTTCAGAAGCCATCCCGGTTTGTGATTTAATCCCAGAATATCCTGGTTTTCCTTTTTCCTCCCCTCCACGTCTCAGAGAACAACTGAAACTGGTAGGTGCAAAAACTGAGTCTTGTCTATACTGACAATAAAATACCTGCACCGAATGAAGGAAATGGTAAAGCTGGCATATAATTTTGAAGAAAAATGTAACCAATCCACTTTACATTCTTTAACTGAAATGTTTCAGCAGACAGCAATTTTGTTAGGAAAGGTGGGAAGTGTTTATTCCTATTTTCAACGGAGAAATGCTGAAGCATATAGGACTCCAAGCCACGGAGCTTCAGATAGACTCTTTTTTTCAAAAAAAAATAATATTTATTAAGTTTTCCAGTTTAACAATCCAATAAAGGCCACATTAAAGACATTCCAAATTATAAAATAATCAAACAGTTGGGAGGATGATTACTCCCATCTCATCCTCAAAATATCCCATGTGAAATGGCTCAACAGCCTCCGCCATGGCAAGTCAAACCAGAAGTCTAACTTCAGATAGACTCAAAAGAACAAAGAAGAGAACCTTTTTTATGTATGCCACAACAGCAGCAAGAATACTCATCGCAAAGTACTGGAAGACGCAAGATCTACCCACTCTGGAAGAATGGCAGATGAAGCTGATGGACTATATGGAACTGGCAGAAATGACTGGCAGAATCCAAGACCAGGGAGAAGAGTCGGTGGAAGAAGATTGGAAGAAATTCAAAGACTATCTACAGAAATATTGTAAAATTAAGGAATGTTAGAATGATGTTGGATAGAAATTAAGTGGTTTTCAGCTGTAACACTATAAGGGAATATGAAAAAAGGGTTATTAATAGGTAAAAATCTAATGCTATTATTTTCAAGATCAAAGATTAGGATAAATAAAGAGGGTAAGGATTTGCTGAACCAACAAATTGAAGTGGAATACAAAAAAGGGAGGTATGAGGAGTTCCGGGAAACAAGCTAAAGGAAAATAATCAATGGAAAATCTGTGTGTTTTTAACTATTTTTATTTTGTATTTTTGTTTTTTGTTTTTTCATTTTTATTGTAATACTTTAAAAAAGCTTAATAAATATCTTATAAAAAAAAAGAACAAAGAAGAGCAAGACTCTGCTTCTTTGTTGGGAGAGATAAGAGGGTTGATAGAAATAGGATCTATCTATATCTCTGTCTATTGATCTATATCTCTTTTTTGTTTTGTTTTGTTAATTTTATATCTCTCCCTTCCTCCCAAAGGAAGCCAGGGCAGCACTCAGCAAGTGACAAAACAACAGAACACACTGTAAAAATATCTTCAAAACTAAGTTGACCAATAAAGATATCAGTTTAGAAGGCTCATGGGCATCTGGTTGGCCAATGTGAGATCAGGATGCTGGACTAGATGGGCCATTGGCCTGATCCAGTAGGGTTCTTCTTATGTTCTTATCAGTGCTTTTTTCCAAGAAAAAAAGAGGTGCCGGTGAAGTTGTAACAGTAAGTGCCACACTTTTTGACAAAAACAAAAAAAGAGGTGCCGGTACAGTGTACCCCTGAGTACCCCCTTTTTAAAAAGCACTGGTTTTTATATACCTAATGAGACCTCATATGGCCAGGAGCCATCAGGAGGTTTAATATTTTATTTTATTTCAAGTATTTACATGCCACTTTTCATCACAGAAGACCACAAAATGATTTACAAAACGTCAGCAAGCCAGAACTGCTCAGATTTCCAGTTTGGATGGAGACTTTTCAGTTTTATTCTTCTCTGGGGAACCTTCCAAGGGCCACATGCCAGAGTAAAGAGATGCATATTTAGGTAAGATCTAGCATTGAATGCAACCCATTGAAATTAATGGGTCCAAGTGAGTCACATCCATTAATTTCAATGGGTCTCCAATCCATCAAAATCCAAGGAACCTCCTATTTCCTCCTTTACTGAATTAGCTGGTTCTTTTTAGACCACATTTTATTCCTATTTCAGGCTCTGAAT